AAAGAAATCTGGAACAGCAATTACGTCCATTTTGCTCATCATTCTACCATAATCGTAACCTGTTAAGCTGCTGTACGAGTCCAAAAGCTTTTTACCCAGATCGAGCGTGAACTCTCTTGTGGTAAATGTTGATTTTCTGGAGCAGATTTTGAAGGTTGGCGAGCTTTCTGATTTGGTACAGTTGAAGTTGTCTATGTTGAGCGCCAAGGTATACGTTGAAATATTTTTGGCTGGCTCAAATTGAATCGTTTTATGTCTGCAATAAAGAAAATTTGGACAGTCTGATGGCAATTGGTTGGCATTTTACAGTAGTCCGCATCTGCTCAGAAAAACATTGATACGATTTTTTATATATACTCTTAATCAAAAAGTTAACCAGTTCGCATGTTTTCAGACCCAAAATTGCGTCAAAACTTGTTGGAAAAGAATTTTGAACAATTTCCAAAATCTTTTTTTTTGTCCCCAGCAACGTAATGAACTTTTCTCTAAAGAAAGTTTTCGAGATTTAAGGTGCGATTTTAATTTAATTAATTTAATATTGAAGTGTATTTTGTACCAACTTTACTGTCATTCATATTCATGTTTATGTTTTTATCTCCTGTAACAATATTTTGAAAGCATTATGTAAAATTAACTGTGCTGCACAAGAGCATAGAACATGATGGGTGCAAACCTGTTGTAATAATATAATAAACGATTTCATTCCTTTAATTAAACAATTGTGTTTTGAATTAACTAAGCTAGTTTCATAGATTCAAGTAAACTGTTCTAGAAATCGTAGTTAGGTAAACTTGTTAGCTGTCACATGGTTGATTAAATTTTTTAATTGGCCCAATTAAATTTTTAATTGGTTTATTTTTTTTCTCAGTGTACTTTAATGTCGTCCTATACTTACTTTAATGAAACATCTTGACGTTCGATAGACGCAGGCGTATTGAACGTAGCGCTCATATGTGCAGGAAATGTAACACTGACCGAGAATGTAGACTTGAAACCTGGTTCGTCGAAACAAGGACATACCCTCCTTGCGTAAAAGGGTGCAAACTGTGTAGCCAGCACATAGCTGGTTGTGCCATTTTCAAAATAAGAACTCCTGTATAATCCAAATAGATCGTTGTCGTTCACCAGGCCTTCGTAGTGTATTAGTAAATGTTGGTTAAGATATTGTACCAAAGGGTATGGCGTCTGAAGCAAATAAAACACGAAGTATTAACGTTTACTGAGCCTGTATTAATTTATATGATTGATGAACGTATTCTAGCCGAAAATAGCCAAGTGTGTACTATATAAATTATTTATGTGTACGTATATTTGGCGTTGTCCGCCCCTACTCTCTGTGAGCGCCATCTATGGAGCAATGGCTCAACACCCTTGGTGCCTAAGATGCTGCAACTCACATTTCGTCAGTATGCTTTGTGGGTTGCCGAGATAGTGTATAGAGTACACATGTCAAGAAGATGCGACGATGAAAATATCGCCGAATAATAAAATCGACCTATATAATTTCAAGAAAACCCGACAAAGTGTAAACTTGCTGACTAGATAGTTTCTAGTGCGCAAATAGTTCATTCCCCTATTGTCACCAAAAGCGTCATCTGTGTCATCTTTTTATGTTGTGTAATACGAGTGCCGGCGTTCAAAAACGGATCTGAAAGATAATAGCGCCATCTATGACACAGTAGAAGAACACAAACCAGATTTTATCCACCGCAGGATGGACAACTTTTATTATCACAGTACTCACCTTAATTCTCAGTATCTCAGATGCACGGTCTACCTGAAAGTACTCCTTCGGCAAAACTAAATCATTAAATGTTATATTTTTTATATTAATGAAGTCATCATTAGCATGCAACACGATATAGTCAGGTACTTCAGTCAGTTTAAGAGTAATAAGAACACTTCCATTGAAAACGCTTTTGTCCAGAGTAAAAACTTCATCAGGAAATGTTAAGTGTAAATCGTATGCGATGAATTCGTAAATGTTTGGTAATTTGTAAGAAACTTCTGTCTTTTCAGCGAAAACTATGGACGTCTTCACTAGGATGATTGCTACTAGAAAGGTCCACGTAACCATTTTCCTAAAAATCATACAATTTGATGGTTTGTGATCTCATGTACCACAAAACTGTTGACGGATGCAAATTTGGCACTTTTGCAGGTTTTAGTGATAAACAAAATGGATCACCCAGTTGAAATGATATTATTTGAACGAAATTTTGTCACAGAGTGATACCAGAGGCGACAGCCTGTCAAAAATCAGGTACGTTTGCATTGGTCGGCAGGGTTATTACATAAAAACCTATATAATGTCAAAAAAAACTATAAAATGTCAACTTGTTTGCTAGTGTGCAAATAGTTCATTTCGCGTTTGCCCTAAGGGCCGTATCGTCAGTTGATCCTACAATTTATTGTAGGACGCCTTTATGGCCTCCTTGATTGTCATAGTATTTTAACTCCTTCAGAAATGCTGGGGTATTTCTAGATTTGCACTGTTCCGTATCAGCGTCAGCGCTCTCCTATTGTGCAGTTATGTTTTCTTTTTGAATTGAACAATTTGATATAAATAGATATTTGTGATAGAACCTCAAAATAGAGCGCTGACACGGAACAGTAGAAAACTATGAAAATCAAGAAGGCTATATAGGTAAGCGTCCAATAATAATTGCATGAACGACTGACAATACGGCCCTTAGAGCTAAAGACATACTTCTTGCACACTACTGAAGAATTTTTAAAAAATTGTTTGCAATCTTGACGAAAACTCACGGGTATCATGTAAAAAACCTATAAAACGTCAAAAAAAACCTATAAGATGTCAACTTGCAGACTAGGTAGTTTTTAGGGCGCAAACAGTCATTCCCCGTTTGCTCACTAGGATCGTTGTGAACGTCCATCTATGGAGGAATCACTCGACTAAACTACGCATTATTGGTTGCATAGTTTTGTGAGGCTGAGTGATCCGGGTCTGTAGTTTTTATGTGTATTGGTCTGCATGTGTATAGAACCAGTGATATTTGCGGTGTGAGAAAATCATTACTGAATATGCCGAATATGACGGGTTATTTATATGCTGTGCTTTCTGAAGAGAGGTTATGTTCAAAGTTATAAATTACGAAAAACTGAGGAGAATTACGGGAAATCATCACCGCGCCCGCGTTGTGTGTAATTACTGTTAGCATGTACCTATATGGCTTGTAATTCGACAGTGTATAGTGATTATAATTATCTCTTATCTCTCTCATTTTTGAAATTCAGCAAATTGGTATTTGTAATTTTCAGAATGGATAAGAAAAAGTGGATGCGCAACTAATTTCTAGCTTTGAAACTCAATTAAGTGTATTTGAGACAAGAACCCACTGTAATTATCATCAACACATACAACTTACAGCTTAGACCTCCAGTAATGCCATCTCAGAAGCAGATTTTACATCACATCAGAGCCAAAGATTGATAACATGCCTCATGACGTTTAGGCAACACGTACAACTAAGTGCTAAGTTAATATCTTGTAGAATAACACATAATGTCAAAAAAAAAACAGCATAATATCAAAAAAATCGGCAAAATGTCACTTTTCAAGTTACGTGATACCCCTGCGGATGAGTAAATCACGAATGTGAGGTCAGATTTATCGTAAGATCGACAGAAATCTCCAAAAACCGATTTTTCTATCCCAACTAGGGCTTCGCAAAACTTAGCTCCATTAGTTGAATCTAGATCCGACACGAATGGTCGATTTTTCAAAGTCTGAAGAACTTTGAACTATCAACTAGGTGTATTTATCTACATGTTCTAATGGCCAAGGTTGTATGCGTAACCTACCTGCCAAATTTGCATCCGTTAACGTGTAATGAGCGTCTCGTCATACATAGGACTAAAAGACTCTGAATTTGAAACTTACACTAAATTTTTCACTCCGTTCGCATCTAGGTACTAATATTAAATACTGCACTTCACTTGCCCACAATTAGAATGCACTATTCATAAGAAGCCCGTTTTTGTTTTCAGAATTCAATATTGATTATATATGCGGTTGGATTTTCCAGTACATATAATCTTGTAGATCCCAATGAATAAGAGATTTGACCACAATGAACAATCCTTTTGTATCAAAAAGCAATAAGTGCTTATCATGATTATCTCTCTATTGATGTCAATTGATAAACTTTAAATGCAGAATCTTGTACTTTTTCATATCTGATAAAGAATTGCGCTGTAGCGGGTATAGAAATAAAGGTCAGAATTAATTAGTTGAAATCTATACTGAAATCTTACTTTAAGTCTGTCATTTATTGCTATCTCGTTTTTTAAGAACCCTTCAGTTTTTAATCTTTGCGCCCATCGGTGATTATTCCGGAACTTGAAGCAGTCTCTAGCTGGAAATTTTGAGGAACAGAACAACCATGCAAAGGGCTAGGTCGCATCCCCTCTGACCTCTGCCAGGTCATAGCTGATGGTGGTACGCCCATGTAACTTTTTTTGATTTTTTAATTGATGTTAAGTTGTCGACGTTATCCTCATCCACCATTTCTTTAAAATGGGTTGTTGACGTCCCATCAAGCGGTACCAAAATAATACTTTTCAAAAATTTTGGTGGATGAGTTTTGTAAATATCTTCTCCTAAGCATGATACATATATAAGCCAATTTTAAGTGATATTTAACTAATAGAATTTCCTGCTTCTCAGGAAATTAATTATCTCGCGATTTCAGTAGTTATCCAGCTAGGTCAACTTTACGCATGGATTCAAATTTGCAAAAATTGTGCCATTTTTTACAGGGCTTATGTAAGAAATGTAACTTCCCACTGTTTGCATTTCGCCGCCATGTTTACCCTAACAGCTTATGAAAAAAAGAATCCATGGAATCGCTATTTCGTCTCCAAGAGCTTGCCATTTTCAACCCATCAGCCATCTTTATTCAACCGTTCGCTATTTCATCCCATAAATCTTCCATCTTGATTCCATCTACTTTTTTCTTCCACATTCTATTCCTGATGTTTTGTGCTTTGTGCTTGATAGCTTGTGACTCAGCTGACAATGACGTCGGAGTGACAGCTTTCAGGGATTGGGTGTGTTTTGGAAAAGTATTAAAACCTTTTTTTTCAAAAATTGAAAAACAAAACAATGCTTTAACAAAGTAGAATCATTTATCTGTCTATTCTAATCTGTTCCAAAATTCTACATGTGCAAAATCTACAGGGATATTGAAAGATGAGCTTCCTTTTCAAAAGAAGACCTCGCCGAGAAGAAAACAACATAGCGGTTATCGGTGCCCCCACAAATGTGAATCACGATATCCACGTAACAGTGTCCGTAGATGGGATCCTAACAGGATTGCCTTCGTCATGGATGCGTCAAATCGGCACTCAGATCACAAAAGATGAACAGAAGGAAAACCCTTTGGTTGTGAAACAGGTTCTGCAGTACTACAATTACTCTATCAAAAAGAATATTCAGGAAGGCCAGGAGTATAAGCATATCATTACTGAGGATGATATACATGAAGAGTCGAAACAAATTGATCTCTATACACAGTCCAAAGATGCTCATAAAAGCTCGGATTCTGCATTGTCATCTGAAGAAGGCAGTATAGAAAATGGGTCTAAAGAAGAAAACGAAGTTAATAGGTGTGTATTTGAATCAAACTATATACTAATCTTTATTTTTCAAAATATATATTTGTATGGGGTACTTGTAGCCATGTTCTAGCATCCCATAAGGCTCTAGGATATCTCTATCTTTCCCTTTATGGATATACATCATACGTTTATCATAAAATTAATTTTTTGCAAGTTTAAGCACATGGAAGAAAAGAATGGCTTCATGTAGACACAGCCTATGAATGCTTAAAAAAAATTGATGGAAAAAAATCACAGTACCAACTCATTTTTAACCTACCTATCTGTTATCCTGACAAAAATTTGTTTCCTAGATAAATCAGATGCTTAGATTATGAATCCAACATCAGTTTGGCCCTAAGACCCATGGGTGGTCCCAAACAACTCATTTTATACTTCAAAATTTGCCCATTGTACTTCACAGTTTTTTTACTGTGATATAATCATTTATTTATCTAAGTATACAAAATTATGTTCACTTGCAAGAACAAGAAATGACAGTCTGATTTCTGCACAGAAGTTCATGTAACTTTATTTTAGTTTCCAATGAGAAAGTTTCCTAAAATGTCTTTGAATCTGTGATCTGGACAAAAAATATAGTAACACAATTTGCTGATATTTTTAATTCTATTCAGGACAACTCTTCCTGCTAGACCACCAAGAAAAGTAGATGGAACTAATTTAGTTAAAACAAAAAACTTGGCTCAGAGTATAGAAAATCTAGCTCTAGCAGATGATATTGAGTATAGAAATAAATCTGATTTAGCTAATGATGAATTCATGAGAAGACGTTCTGATTTGTCAGATGAGGAATATTTACAGCAAATTAGGAATATTTGCAATCCAGGAAACCCATATGATTATTATGAAAGGAGCAATAAAGATCTAGGTATGTATTTTGAACTTCAAATACCACACAATTGGATAATAGAAAAGGTAACAAGATGACACATATCTTTTTGGGTTACAAAGTTTTGATTTGTGTCAGAATTTTTGAAAAGTCAACTACAAACAAACAAAAACGTAGTTTTTTCATTTTTATCAGTCTTTGATTATGAATGTTTTACAAATAAAAAACAACTATTTTCTTAAATTTTTGTGTCATTAAGAAATTAAGACTAAATATTTGTTGAATTTTTTTTTACTTCAAAAATAATCAATATTAAAATAACTAAGCTGGAATAGAGGAATGTTAAACTTCAACAATAAAAGCATCTTTGTCTAGAAAAGGAAAACTAGATATTAAATTTGCTATAATAGCACCTGTAAAAAACTTTCATTGTACTAGGTTCAGGGGCATCTGGCACAGTATTTGCAGCTACAGACAGAAAATCTGGCCAACTGGTGGCAATTAAAGATATTGACATGACGAAGCAGCACAAGAAAGATCTCCTTCTCAGCGAGATCAAGATCATGAAGAACTTCAAACATAAAAATCTGGTGAATTTTTTGGACGCCTTCGTGGTGTATGATGACCATCTGTGGGTCGTGATGGAACTTCTAGATGGCGGACCACTGACAGATGTGGTCACAGAGACTGTGATGAAGGAAGGACAGATAGCGGCTGTTTGTTATGAGGCCCTGCAAGCTATTGATTATTTGCATCAAAGGGGGACCATTCATAGGGACATCAAGTCTGACAATGTCCTCTTGGGTATGAAATTATCTTATAGTTGATATTATGAAAAGAGAATTGTTTTTGTAAGAAATATAAAAAAAATGTTATTCAGGTTTTATGTATGTCATGAAAAATATATCAGTCACTTAACTTGGAAAGTACTATTTTTTATATTTGGTCCAGTGGCGGCAGAGCTAAAGGCAAAAAAAGGAAAAAAAATCGTTTTTAGATGTATCAGAAGCTACTGGTCATTTTCAGAAAATGTTTTGGAAGGGTTAAAATTGTAGGTTGTTCGGGGTGGGGGAGGATATACAGTGAAAGCTCCCATAAGCGGACACTCACGGTTCCGTAACTTTTGTCCGCTTATGGGAGGTGTCCGTTTAAAAGAGAGTATGTAAGTATAGAGTATAAATAACGGGGTATATATCATGAGGAAATGAGGTATTATAATCATGAGAAAAATGAAACAGAAACTCGCCACATTTTTAAAGTATGTATTTATGCTATATATCTATATAATATATGTACATATACGCATACAAAAACATAAATGCTTCAATACATGGTACGAGAATTTAAAAAAAACATTATTCTTTAGCTTTTTGAAAAAAGTTAAAATGTTTGTCTGACGAAATTTCACCATCTTTTGCTGAAGGAGACAATTTTCGTAATAACTTTCAAAATTTTTCAAATGTTGAAATGCAGTGAAATCATCTTTAGCAAATTTTTTCAATATAGAAATATGATTTAGAGCTTCCCCATATGAATTTATCGTTTTTGAACCGCTTAGTGAGTCCACCAGTTCCACTTCTTCTTCTGAGTCGTTTGGACTACCATATTCAAGTTGGCCTGGGCTTTCTACATCCAAATTCGAAAAGTTGCCAATGGCATTTTCTTCTGTTGTTGTGTTGTTGTCTATGGCCAGGAAATCATCTACTTTCTGGGGATCTGCTACTCCTACATGTTTGGCATGTCGCAGTAACTGAGCAAGTGTCGCTAAGGGCAGATCGTCTTCAGCATCGCAATAATTTTGCTCAGCAAATTCTGAGCTACATTCACTTTTTCTGAATCCAGCTTTTCCAAAACCGTTTTTAATTGTAGAGGAATTTACTTTATTCCATGCTGTTTTTATAAAATACAAAGCTTCTAACACATTGATAGACTTTGTAAGCTCAGATAAGCTTTGACCATCGTCAATTTTTGTTAAAATATGTTTTAAAATCAAGTGCCGATAATAAAATTTAAAGTTCTGTATGACACCTTGATCCATGGGCTGACAAACAGAAGTTGTGTTTGGCGGTAAAAATATAATTTTCACATTTTTCATTTTCATATCACGAGGATGAGAGCATGCATCGTCTAAAAATAAAAGAACTTGACTTTTTTGGATTCTCATTTTCCGGTCGAATTCGACTAACCACTCAGACATGATTTCTCGGGTCATCCATGCCTTTTTGTTGGATTTCCAAGTCGCTGGTAGATCCTTAATAGCAACGTTTTTTAAAGCACGGGGACGAGCCGCTTTCCCGATCACAATCAAATCGCATTTTTCACCGGCCATATTTGCACAGAATAAAATGGTTAGTCTATCTTTAGACAACTTTCCACCCACACATGTTTCTCCTTTAAAGGACAGAGTTTTGTCGGGCAATGTGCGAAAAAAAGTCCACTCTCATCTGCGTTGTACACATCTTCTGGTTTGTAGCCAAGCAACGGAAGTTTCTCCAAAAATTGTGACACATCAACTTGATCTACTGCAGCAGCTTCGCCAGATATGCATTTGAAACTCACACTATGTCTCTTGTGCCACTTTTGCAGCCACCCGTCGGACGCACTGAAATTATTATAGCCCAAAGTAGTGGCGATTTCTTTAGCTTTCATTTTCACTAACGGCCCTGAGATTGGAATGTTCTGACTTCTAGCTTTCACAAACCACTCAAAACATGTTTTGTCTATAGCAAAACCTTCCTTTTTTTAAAAATCCTTAATATTAAACCTCTTTGCCAAATGCCGAACTGAAACACTTTCTCTGTCTAATACGTTAACAACTTCCATCTTTTCCTTTAACGAGAGCATCCTTTTTTTTTGGTGCCATTTTACAGTTACAATAATAAAATACGTAACTCAATCAACTACGAATTTGCCTGAACTGAAGACAAGCCACAAGATTACATACAGGCTACCCAACGAAATGCGTAAATGGGGAATCACCTAATATAAATCGGGGAATTACCGAATTTTATGTATGTAGATATGTGCATTGCAATAAGCGGAACTAAAAAATCACATACAGGAAAATCTAGTGTCCGCGTCCGTTTATCGGAATGCATTTAACATTGAAAATTGATGGCTGAAATTCGGTTCCAGGAACTTTGTCCGGTTAAAAGAGATGTCCGCTTATAGGAGCTGTCCGCAAGGAGAGCTTTCACTGTGTACCATTTTTTACGATTCCTTCCCAGTAATTCAATTCCACACATTTCCCCTTGAAACTTGATAGAGAAATGTCTTTGACATGGGTCTCTCTCCGGCCTGATCAGCAACACAGTCTCATGACTGCCGCTCCGTCACTACCACGCTGCTAAGTCTGACGAGAAGCTTTGGAGGGAGGGGCAACGTTGCCAGATAAACGGTACTATCGTAGGGCAGGGGAAGAATGTCCAAGGACCAATTACGAACCTGTGTGACAGAATCCTTTATGGATGACATTTTTGCATGGAAAGTACAAAGTCATCCTACTTAACGACATTTTTATTCCAGGTATGGATGGTACAGTAAAAGTAACTGATTTTGGATTTTGTGCAAACGTGGTAGGAAATGAACAGAGAGAAACAATGGTAGGCACTCCATACTGGATGGCCCCAGAGGTAGTTACCAGGCAGAAATATGGAAAGAAAGTGGACATTTGGTCTTTAGGTAAAAACATATTGTGTTTTAGAGTAACAGTGGCACTGTTATAATCTATATAATGCAAATATTTCTTTCTATTTTCTCTCCAGGTATCATGATTGTGGAAATGTTGGATGGGGAACCACCATACCTCAGAGAACCCCCACTGAGGGCCTTGTACTTGATAACAGCTAATGGTAGGCCAAAAATCACTAGGTGGGATTCACTGTCGCCCAGGTTGCAGAGTTTCATAGATTTGTGTCTACAGGTGAGATATTTACTAACTAACAGATTATTCTCAAATGAGTTTTTAACAACAGACCTAATGTCAAAATTTGCAGTATTCAACAGTTAATACACTACTGATATCAGAATATCAAAACATAGTAAGCCATCAAAATAGCTATGGGCTTCGATTGAACAGTTTCTATGATCCATCATACCATTTAATCATATAAAATATATGATATAATGAATCAAATAATTCCACATGAAAATAATAAAAGCTTATAATTGAAGGTTGATGTTGACAAGCGTGCTACTGCAGAGGAACTCCTGAATCATGAATTCTTGAAATGCAAAATGGAACTAAGGACATTAACTCCTCTCATCAGAGCTGCCAAGAAAATGTTGCACAAAACATGAATGGTGATATTGAATTGATACAGCTGTTACCTATTATTTGTTGCTATCTAATTTGGAAAAATCAGTCGGAACAATTTTGTTGGTCCCTGGTTAACCATAAGCAATATCAACTGAGACTTGGTGACCAATTGTTTGACTGTACACTAGGTCAAAACAAAATCAGATTTTGTGATACTTTATCATACTATTCTATTCCAAATAGTATTTCAGGTAAACACTTTTGAGATAGAACAGTGGTTTTATGGTATAGGTCTCAATCAAGTCGATGTGTCATAGTTTTTGAAGTGATGCTTAGCTAGATGTGCAGCTTGAGGTGAATGATATACGCATACTTTTTTACGTAAGAATTTATATATACATATATAGTTTTAAGTTTTATACTATACAATTTAGAAGCTTTTTGTATCTTATTACCATTACAGATACTGAATGATTTTTACGCTCGTCAGTAATTTTTCTATCCAAGTCTTATACAAAAAATGTGATTCTGTAAAGGACGAACTTTATAGTTCATAGTGCCACAATTTTACCGCGAAATATTATAGGAAACAAGAATTGGTGGGTAGGGTAAAAAGTATTCAATTTAAAATTTGTTTTTTTTTTGCATAATTCCTCGACTGTAACACACTTTCTCTAACAATAGGAAGTCTGGAAGGCTATCAAAACATTCGTCTTCGGTCTTCTCCACTTGTTTATCGGACCCAAAGTGCTTTCTAAAAAACAATTTCCTCAAATCTAGGAAAGATGGAAGTATGGGGGTGCCAAATCAGGAGAATATGGAGGATACTCGAGCAAATCATACCCTACAGATTTTCCATTTCTCACACACCTTTACGAGCTGGTGCGTCCCGATGAAAAATGATACCTTTCTTCTTCCAAGTCGGGCCAATTCTTACGAATTTTGGTATACAGTTGATCAAGGATTTTGAAATAGCATTCGCCCGTAATTGTACTGCCCTTTTCAAGGAAACACAAGGTCACCTTTCCCGCAGATGCAATCGACTTTGGCGCTGAACCTCCGGTTTCCACGTTTTCTCATTCGTTGTTGTTGAATAAAAAAAATTCCCACAAAAATTAGTTTACCCATTTCATGCGTCGGCTTGAACAACTTGCAACAATAAACCCAACTTCACAATTATTTCGCAAACCAGGGGTATTTTCGTCTAATATGATTAGACTATATACAGAAACCATATTGTTGAATACTGTAGGTCTAAGTGCTGAACTTGAATTGGATAGTTGTTCAATATGGTGGAAAATAAAACAAGGTTGGCACCGTGGAATTTTACGTCCAACTTGGTCAAAATTCCTAATTACGTGAAGAAATTCACGAAGAACTTCATGGATTTATTCATGTATAAATTCCTTTTTTACTTTTGAAATTAGCCATGCCAATGTAAAACAGATATCAGTGAAAAAAGTTTGTCATTCAAACCTGTGTCAATGCGAGAACTTTTCACCTTATCCAATTAGATGAGTCTTCTTTTATTGTATCCGTAAATTCCAATTTATACACTTATTTTAAGGGTCCAAATTTCAGATTCCAGTTAAGACTGATCGACATTTAATGTCTTGCAATATTACGTTGGGCATTTTGGAATATGACGTTACATTTATACTTTTTGTAAGGTTTCCATTTTAACAGTTAGCATACTCAGATACACTTAAAAGTGCCTAAATTCCAAATAGTGGTTGAAATGGAAATTTGTTTTGTTAATGCATATTGTCAGTCATGTTTTATACTTAAAATGTGTCATTAAATATTTAATCAGGAAAATGTTCTTTTTATTCTAAACATTTTTGTTAATCTGCATGTGGTCAGGGCCATACTTGCATCAAATATTTTTAAATAAATTCCGATAACTACTTCTGGGGTTTTTGGGACATTCTGAGCAAAAGAATGTGCTTTAGAATGTTTCCCTAAAGTTGAGAGTTTTCGAGATATAAACGATACAATATTTAAAACATTGCGAAATATTTCGACCCCGAAAAAACTGAAAATTTTAATGTTGAACCAAACGTTAAAGCTTGTAAAAAAAATAACGCAGTGGGGTACTAATTATCGCGCAGTGTAGTGTAAACAGGACAACAAAAAAATGAACAAACATTTTTTGTTTCGGAAAATCGAAATTATTTTATTCGAAGTTAATACAGCAATTTGCACGGATCAAAAGATTTTCGAATGATGATTTTAGCTCATTGGCCCTTCAAAATGGTCGTCGCCGCCTTTTGGATGGGCTCTATCGCTGTTCCTTCATGGCCAAATAGTTTACTGATCAAAAAATAGTAACTCGTTGCCATATCAGGGGAATATGGGGAGCGGTTGATGGTTAAAATGTCTCTTTTTGTCAAAAAAATCGGACACAAGCATCGATGAAATGGTGCATTATCGTGCAGCTTCCTTCTTTACGATGGCCGAATACGCGATAGCAAAATCCTCGTAACACCAAGTACAAATCCCAACATTAACCGTTTGGCCCGGTGTAGCGAATTCTCTCGAATCGTAGAAACAAATCAACATTTCTTCACTTTGGAGGGGGGCCAAGAGGGCCAAGAGGTCGTCGGCGCTACTTTAAAAGAGGAAAAGGTGACTACGGGTGCATACCAAGGTAAATTTTTATAATAGAGTCGGATTTCGATTAGCGTTCTAGAAGTAAATCGTTTCTTATTTTGGTACTCGGCAAGTGATCATTTAGTATTTTTCTCCCCTTGTCACTGTTCGTCTATTTTGTGTTGTTGAATTGTTGTGCTCTACTCTTATTGCTCTGATTGTTCTTGAGTTCCTTTTTTTATCAAGGCTGATAATGGACAATAAAGGGTCATATGCGACCATTTTAATTACGAATGCAGTGAGTTTAATTCATGATGAGGTCAACAATAGTGTGGAGCAGTTCAACTGTATAATCGCAAAATACATTGGGATAACCGAATAAATTTCTGCAAGAGGTCATACCCTGGAAGATGTGCTGCAGCTGTAGTGAGCCACAATACCCAGCGGCCTGTCTATGTGGCCTAAATACATTTGCGTTCTAAGCTTAGTCCAACCTCGCTTATCGTTAAGACGGAACAAAGACTCAAACGCAAGAATCTTGAAAAGAAACTCGGACCAAAAAAGCTAAAAATAACTAACAATTCGGATAGCAATTCCAAAGAAAATGAATAGTTTTATGGCGAATTCAGTCAAAAAGCTGACATTAACTACATTGATTTGGAGGTTGCGAAGCGAAAATTTTTAGGGAAACTTAAAAAAAGTGACGACGAGATTTTGCATATCGAACAAGACACCAAATCACAGGACTGTACTTTGTCGCGCCTTCATCGGAGGATAAGGTTGACAGCGACTCGATTTGGTGAAGTTTGTAGAAGGGCAGGAGTTCCAGTTTTTTTCAATTATTTTTTATTGAAGGGAGTTGAATGAATTTATTTATATATAAGTGAGTATCATGCTATAACGAATTATGTATACAGGTTGGTGTATTAATAAAACAAGTTAAAAAAGAAATACAGCACAATATTAATTTCTCTATATACTAAGTGACATATAAATCCGAACACCCAGTTTAAATGGTTTTATTTTAATAAAATTTTGTATAAGTACTTAATGAAGCATAATAAGTAAATAATAAAAATTTCAAAATGATTGCACTGCTTTAAAGCCCTTTGACCTTTAATAATGTGTGGATGCACCCTGATGTGCTACGCATTCTCCAACGCGCCTAGGCATGCTTCTGATCAGGTGGTCAATGTCCTCATGTGGTATCTCATTCCAGGCAACCACCAACTCCTCTCGAAGTGCTTCTAGAGTCTGAGGAGGACGTTGCAAATTGAGCAATCTCCTACCCATCATATCCCACACGTGCTCAATTGGGGATAAGTCGGGAGATCTTGGTGGCCATGGTAACAATGTGACATCATTATGTTGAAAGAAGTCTACTGTGACTCTTGCAACATGTGGTCGGGCATTATCTTGTTGGAAAGTTGGATCTGCCAGGGTGTCAAGATAGGGTAAAAGATGGGGTTCTAGAACTTCGTGGATATAACGCTGCGCGTTCATGTTACCTCTGATGAAGATTAAAGGTGACCTGGAACCATAAGCTATAGCACCCCAAAAAATAACTCCAACAGTGTGATGAACATGTCTTCCAACAAAAAACTGTGGATTCCTCCTTTCACCACGTCGCCTTCTAACCCTGGCACTGACCATCGTGCATGCCTAAACAAAATCGAGACTCGTCACTAAAGACAATACTGTTCCATTTCTGATCCCAGAGTGACCGTTGTCTGCACCACTCAAGGCGATTACGTCGGTGTTCTCGAGTTAAAGGGAGGACCCAGTGTGGCCGGTATGAAAACAAGCCAAAACTTCTCATTCGTCGGTAAACACTTCGCATGCCAATAGGTCTTCCGTGTTCTGCAAACCATTCATTTGCAATGGACCTGGTAGTGGAGAAACGGTCCCTTAAGGTCAATAATCTTAGGCGGCGATCTTCACGGTCTGTTGTTCTACGGCGGCGTCCAGTGCCCTTGCTCTTTGCGTACGGCCTTCTCAAAGCCATGCCTGACAACACCTAACCACAGTGTCTACACTTCTTTGCACTCTAACTGCAATTGCCCGAAAAGAAAGTCCAGCTTCCCGAAGTCCCACTATACGGCCCCTATCAAACTCACTAAGTTGACGAAATCGTACAGGTCTCCGTACTCTAGGCATCGTAACCGATCGTAAAGGATATCAAGAACCAAAATCCGCCAACGTTGATTCTTTACTGCGGCTGAAATATTCATTTTTAGAGCGTTACTGAATTAAAAAAAAGCAGTATAAAAACCGGAATGTCCAACTGATAAGGCTGAACATTTTTTCACATGTTATTTACAGTAAGATAATACATTCACTAACTTTTATTAAAATAAAACCATTTAAACTGGGTGTTCGGATTTATACGTCACTTAGTATACTTTTGTCCATTACTGTATATCGGATACCTTTCAAAAGTCCTGTTTACTTTACGACAAACCTTGATATGGAAAAAATAAAAAAATGGTCCAGGTGTGTTACATTTTATTGATCTCGTAATATTAAAACATATTTGCATTATAAAAATTCATGTACCAACTACAGTAACTTAACCTTTTTGGCTACATAAGCGTTTGAAAATAAATATTTTAATCCTTTTTTTATTTATTTTCTTTTTTTGTTTTATTCATATATAATTTACAATTTTTAACATTATACAATAATCTGTAATGATAATATGAACTAGTTTAGCTGACGAGTGAATAATAATACAGTAACACTTCATCATACGTTCTACTCTTATAAAGAGTACCATTACTTTTAACAAATTCACCAGTTAAAATGTTTTCAACCAATTTTTTTTGTACAGTGAAGTCCAACTTTTCAAATAAGAACAAATCAGTTGGACTTCACATTGGGGTCCAGTATCAATCTCAACCACAACTTTAATATTGCACGCACTGCATCAAAATTTGTTTGAAACTCCATAATCATTAGTGGATCTTTAGAGCATTCTCGAGGCAATGTTTTGGAGTTACACAAAACATATGGAATTTGTCTACCGGTAACTTAAAAAAAAATTAATATAGCAATAAATGATCAATGTTCCAGTGGGCGCAAACCGAGAAATGCTTTCTATTGGAGATGCAGGGTGTCCAAGTTTGGTGCCTTAGCTCCTAACGCGTCTTTAATATATTCGGAGAACTTAGTGATATAAAAAAATCATGTGAACACTCACACTAGATACAGGGTGTGCCAACGAAATTGGAAAGTTGTTTAACAGAGAGGCTATATAAAATATCCGAAAACAAGATTTTATAGGTCTCTAAATTTTATTTAAAATATAGTGTTGCACAATTCTGTGATACAACAAACATGTTTTTTCACTGTACGCCCATATTAGATTTTTGAAAATACCTTTCGAGAACAAAAAGACTTATATAGTATGCAGCAGGACTTTAAAGTTCATTTTTTTAGTTACCATTTATCTTAAAAAATCATATGCTTAAAGGCTTTGACTTCTACCACTTTTCATAGTTTTTGACTAAATTTTGGAAAGAGGTTGGAAAATTACCCTAACTTCATCAAGGCGCTGCAAAACGCAAAACTTTTTCTCAAAAAATTTGAATGGAACATCCTGCATATTTTTACACAGTCAGATTCGCGTTTTAATAAGTTTCTTCTGATATAACGTTTAGTACTGATTTATTAGAATGGTAATCTGATTATCGAAAATCGTTTCCGAATATCTTTTATAATTTTTCTATCAAACTGCTTTCCATTTTCGTTGGGACACCCTGTAGATAGTGTACGTGCTTTTTATTATATCAAGTCTACAATAAAGACGAGCTAAAATCACCAAACTTTGAAAAACTGTATCTTCATAAGAAAATTTCATTAAAATTGACTGGTGACCAAATTCCACATGTCAGGCCAAATAATGGTACAAACCAAGTTCTGATATTTTCGTTTTTGAAAGCTGCATATAAAGGGCGATTCAGAAAATTCCAGGGATAAAATAGATAAAAAAATAATGAGAAAATTTCCTAAGCACAGAAATGCCCTATTCAGGGTCTGGAAATTATAATTTCTAAATGGATGGTTCTTATAAATGAAGTTAGACTATCACTCTCGAAAAAAAGGGAATATAATATTTAGTTTGAAAAAATTACAATGAAAATTAAGAATTTCAGAAAAATTTTGCTGAATTGACACAATGAAATACACTTCAGAAAAAGAAATTTTAAAATAATTCTAACTGAAAAATGCATTGGCCCAGCTGCAGAGTCGCTTACAAAACTATGGCCTAATTTTATATGTAGTACTTCTTAGATCGAGCGAAGGAATTCGGTTCGTCTGGATACAGTGTCATGCACCAATTAAAAGTCGCAGTTGAATCAAAAAGTATGCTACTTAAAACTAACTGTACACAAAAATGACACGACGTCTTTACATCAAGGTTAAGTAGTAGAAATGTTCAGATAGACCTTATATAACATCAAAGCTGTTCTATCTCGCCTTTTCTATATTTTTTTGTTGTCCATGATCATACAGTTAATTTAGTGGCTCTTAGAAAACGGTGAATGGTTTGGAAAAAACATCACAATTGCAGACATATTGAGCTGCTGCTGCTGCAAGTAAGTTTCCAGAACTACTCCATTAAATTTAGTACAAACTTCCGGTATTTTCCACTACTTGTGTTTTCTGTCGTTGCTGCTATGTATAGATAAAAAAACGAGAAGTAGATTGTCATACTGACAGTAAGGTGTCCCGTTCTACTCTTCCCATCTAAATATTTGGAAAACTGCGCAAAATAAAGTTTCAAATAAGAGTAGTTGAGTTTTGAAGAAGCCACATGATAGTGACCTTGACCACGATCTTCAAGTTCAAGTTTATATATCCAAATAGAACTCCGCTTTTTTACAAAGGAATTGAATAGAGGAAATATTTTACGCCCGAATATGACCTTGGACATAACCTTGACCATGACTTTCAAGGTCAAATCAGACCTTGCAAACAATTTGCTCTAGCATGAATGTTTGATAAAACAGTTGTGAGGTTTGTAAAGGTGACCATGACCATCAAAGTCAAGTCAAAATTTCCAAAGGAAACTCCACATTTTCATATTGTGATTGGAAAAAGGAAATTTTAAGCAAAATATGACCTTGACTCCAAATAACATTCAAGCTCGTCGCTCGGACGTGACATTTCCAGCTTTTTCTGATTTCAGTATAAAAATGTGAGGTTTCCATTGAAAATGTTTAGTTGATTGAAGGGGTGATCCCACAACGGTGCTGTCATACATTTTTTATATAGCAAATTATTTTCAATGTCTTGATTTGGCTCTTGAATATTAGGGACATACTCAGACGTAAAATGTCTTCCTTTTCAATTCAAAAGTAAACAATGGGGCTACACTTGAAAATATTTGCTTGGCCTTGAAATGACAAAAGTCGTCAAAGTCGCCAACAATTTGCTCCCTCAAAACCCTACAACTTTTGCATGAAACGTTTTTCTAGGATGAATAGCTTTCGAAACATTCTGGTGGAGAGATTAAAATGACACACCCAAAAATCCGATGCGGCGAGACGAAACTGAAAAATGTCTGTAAACTTGCACAAACGGCCGCGCATAAATTGCATGTTCGCGTGTAATGCATAACATGGAAATGATACCAGCAGTTTTGCTCTGTCCACCAAAATTCGTGAAATATTAGTTAAACTTCTGTCTTGAAACCAACTAAATCGAAAAAGATATAAATTCATAACAAAACGTCGAAGACTGGTTTTAGATGGTCTGCTCAATTTTACTGCATACTTCGTCACCTTTTGTGAAGGAGGCCTACCTTTTTTATAACTGGTAGTGATTACAGAACATCCATTGTCCGTATTTTTGTTTATTAAAGCAAACACAATATTTTTTGCAGTACTATGCAAGACTCGATGTTTCCAACGAAAACATACGGTCCCAAATCTGCCTCTTCTTACTTTAAGCATACTTTAATTGTCCCTTCATTCGATCTTTTCATTTCCATACTAGAACGGTGGAATTCGAGACATGAAACATATTTTACAAATCAACCAATATCCAAATCAGCTACTCCCAAACCAAACACAACGTTCACACCAAAATCAATATGCATGGTTCAAGGACTCTTTATTAACGCCAACATTTAAAAAATAGTATTATACAAAAGAAAATGGATACAACAAAAGAAAACGAAAGCTTTGAATTCTGTATTTTGCTTTTCATTGGGTTATATTCAATACTAAAAAGCAACAACAGTATTGATATATAAGTATATCTACGACAATCACAGACTTTTAAATATTTATGAATACAAAATCCGAAGCTCTAATTACAAAATGTAGAATAGAACAGAAACGTATCGACTAAAGTACCTAACAATAAAAAAACAAAAATAAATCAGTAATCCAGCGTCTCGTGCTGAAGAAAATGGGACAAACCAAACTTTTGCCTGGTCAAATCAGGAAACACTGTTTCTGACTAAAAAAAATCAAGTCGGATCTGAAAATAAAAAAACAAACTCTCACATAGCAAACGTTACAGATATTTTTTCAATTGTTTTAAAATTAAATTACGCGACATCCGACCTAGGGTGTGACTGCTATAAATGTCAACTAAACAGCCTTGAATCGTGCCCGATACTGAAAATTATTAATTTTGAAAACTTACGACAAATCGATGCAGTTAATTTGAGGAGCAAATCTAAAATGCGGAAATGTGATACGAAATAGTTACAAATCGTGATTTCCCACATTTTAACGTAGTATCCTCAATAGCATATGTATGTCTTAAAACCTGAATTAGGCCTCAAGCAAAAATCCAACCGAGTCCCAATAACTTCTGTTCACAAACGCCGGACCACAGAATATTTCAGTAAATGGTACCTAAAGCAAACAATTCAAAATGTGTTTCTAGGGTTTACATTATGTTTCTGCAAGATATTCCGGTGGTTCATGGGTGATTTTCTAACCAAATCTAAAAAAATTGACAGTGTTAGAAATGAGCATTGTGTCGTAAATTAAGATGTACGTCCTGCTGTTTAAAAGGTCTGTATTTTGTGATATATACTTGGAATAGATTGAAGGTATGTCAGCACTGAAAGCGCATAATGCCAGTGAACGTATATTCAAGTAGTTCGACATAAGTGTTTCACGGCTGATCCCGAACGCGGTCAGTGACTTTAGAAATGACTGACAGCTGTAACTCGATAATCGTTAATATTCGTCTTGAGGCTTGAGACAACTCGCGCACACTGTAGGTGAGATTATGTTCAAATTATTGGAGCAGCTACAGTTTTTCCTGTGTAAGTCATGCTATTCTATTACTAGTGTAAATACTACAAAATGTACAAATCTTACGATCATCTTCAGTCCATCAGAAGTACGTATTCTGCCATCGAACCTGTTTCGTATATTTCAAATTACTGGCCAATAGATAAAATTGATTGATTTGTTCTTCCAAAATCTTTGAAATAAAACAAAATAGAAACATTTTTGTACCTTTTTTGTTTATGAAAAATGATATCGCACTTAAATGCCTGCATCTGGAAACCACACAAACCTGAGCCCTCTTGACATTTCACCTGTCCTTACTTTTTTGGAGACATTGCTTGTTATTCTTTTTACTGTCATTGGAGAAGAAATGTGATTCCATCAGAACGGCGCAACGTGTAACACAGCTACAGAAGCCCCCGTTAAATGATGTAATCTGTCCACCAGAGGCACCAGATTTAATGACCCCAGACTTTGGGTGTGGATTTCTAAAAAATGAAGTTCATGCAAACAAAGCATTGAAGAGCAGCTAAAGCGAAATGTTCAGAAGTCTAATCAAAACATATCTCGTAACAAAAAGTGATACAAATGTAAACCAGAGGCCTCAGGTTCGTACCGCTTCCAGACGCATATTATTTTTCATACATAACACAGAACTATCAATGATCGATCAAGACAAAGAAGTTGAATACAATCATTTCATTTTAAATATACTGTAGGAATGAATTAGCTTAAAGGTATTTACTGGCAGGTGACAAATATTCTGTGACAGCCAGTGCATATCCTCGTATTATTTTTTTATTTGAGGAAATAAATTTGTTTCGCGAGAAAATGTCAATCAATATCTTCGACAATAAAGTCAGAAATGCTGATACGCATAGACGATCACCAGGGACGCGCCACAGCAGTCCGCCGTTCTCCAAATGATGATTCCGATTCAGACGCCCAAGAAACAATGCATTGAAGAATGGGGAACCGCTGTCGCGTCGCCGAATACCGTCTCTACGCATACCAATGCAAGTCGCAGCTCTTCCCCTCGACTGCCCAGCACGAAACGTACGATCTGCCTGGTCGGTTCGTTAAAAGTCGTTAGATCGCGGGCCGATGGCAGCTACAACTAAAATACACATTCCTCGAGTCTGACCTTGAAGATAGTGTCGGGTGATGGGGGGACTTCCCCTACCGCCTTCCCTATCTCTTGTAACGGTCCCTATTGGCGCGCTCCATGTCGATCCATTCGGGGTCGTTCGGGTCCTCTTCGCAATCCCCGACGGCCGACTCGGTAGATTCCGAGTCCGCCACGGAGTCAGCGTCGCCAACTCCGGTGCCCGTGGTGCCCCCGGAGTCTTTCGGGAGCTGCCGGCCGCCAGGTAGCCCGAGTACGTCTCAAAGTCGGTCGAGTCTTGAGCACTAGACAAAGAAAAGATATAAACTTACAGTTTGTTTCAAAAATATGCATGACTAAAGAATGAGGACGTTTCTTAAACATCATCCACATTCTTGTGTGTACTCGGGCTCTGTCCCTGCAAAAATCTCGTAAGCGGTTCTTCGGAAAAATAAAGAGATTCATTTTCGTTTTCAGCGACCTCAAATTAGTCTAAAAAACACCTTCAAGTCGAGGTACATTTTTTATGTAAAAACTAGTGCTATAATTTTGCGCCACCTTGTACATTAAGAGCACTTGTTCCTCACCTGGTGTTCGTTTGCAACTGATGATTTTCTGGCGTGCTCTCGATCATCTGCTCGTAGAGATCTTCAGTTATGGGGAAAGTGCGTCTATCGTAAGGTGCCACCTCCTCAACAGCAGCTGTAGAGGCTCCATCTGTTGCCTCTTCCTCCTTGGAAGTTTGGCCCCATCGACACGCTGACATCGTCCTTCGTCGCATCACCGCTATGGAGGGAAGAGGACCGGTGTCGTCCAGCTGAAATATTTTTATGTGCTGTAGAAATTTTCATTCGCTTTTAGCATTTAAATACCACACGATGTACGTATGTTGGGTTTTCATCAATATCAGATATCAAAACAATTTTATAATGCCTATGTATAGGTCTTCTTTAGGTCTTTCACGTATAATACAGAATCCCTCTTTAACAGGTATAGCAGAAATAAGGAATATTGATATATCAAATAGTAATAGCATCAGTTTCAAACTGCATTTCAGACTTCATCTCCTAGAAACGCAGCATAGGATCAAATAATAAATGTCCTTTCTGAAGTTTAAATATTCATAGACATACATTTTTTACTACAGGGTGCGCCATCTTTTATGTCGGTATTGAAACATCGAATGACTTTTGATATTTACCAACCGAGTGATTCGGTTATACGTGTTTCTGAAACGTCAATTTACTACAATTTTAGTCATGAATCGCTTTACACCGAAACAACGCGCCGAAATAGTCACAATGTATATGTACATTGAAAATCGTCGTTCAATTGTGTTAACGCGACGTGCATAACGTCAAAAATATCGTGGCAAACAAACTGACAACACTATCCGTCGTTTGGTTTCGAATTTTCTTGAGTACGGGACAGTGGGAGATCGTCAACATACCGTTCATCAACGACCAAGACGTTCCGATGAATTGGTTGAAGCGGTCAGAGACAGCGTTGCCCAGAACCCAAAAGTGTCGTATCGTGATCGCGCTCAGCATTTTGGCATCAGTGGAACCACGTTGCGGCGCATTTTGAAGGATGATTTGTATTTGTTTCCTTATAAAGCGCAGTTAACACAACAAATATTGCCAACTGATCTCAAAATGGTGTTACGGTCCGGTACTGTCCCACGACGTGGAACACGAAAGTGGACGCGAAACTCGCGTTGCGTTCAAACGACAGACTCGCCATAGTACAGTGAACACACGATGCTCAACATTCCAAACCATCTTGTCAACTGAAACGGCACTTCTCCCACTATCCAACACGCCCTTCCCCACCGATACGGGACCAGCCCACTCGATGCAGTACCCATTCGAAAAACATGCGTTCTTTCTGACGAACCCTGTATCTCGATTAAAAAATTCGCAATTCCTATACTTGGCATCGGAAATAAAAAAAAAGCTAAGAAAATCTTACCTGCAACGACTGCGGCGTAGCTGGCGGCGACACCATCGGCGATCCACTAGCACTGGCCGCCCCGGCGCCTTCCTGCGCAGTCTCCGCCGCTGCGGCGCCACCCGCCGCCCCAATGGAAGCAGCGGAGGCGGTCACCCCATTATTCGGAGGGGCGCTATGCGGCGACATCGGATCCGGCGTGTTCGCGCCGCTGGACTCCGCCCGACTGTCGGTGCGCTTGTGCGAACGCTGCCTGCCGTGGCCTAGGGGCAGCTTCAGGTAGCTGAGGAAACGTTTCTTCTCGTCGTGCTCGCAACGGTCGTGACGGGACTGGACCGCCTCCTCGGACATGTCTTCAGCCTGAAGAAAATTATCGGTTAAATGACAGATGTTTGAAATTTCCAGTTATAAAGGGTGTCCCAGAAGTCGACGTCAAGCCGGGAACACGGCACATGTATCATGTAAAAAACCTACAAAACGTCAAAAAAAAACCTATAAGATGTCAACTTACAGACTAGGTAGTTTTTTAGGGCGCAAACAGTCACTCCACGTTTGGTCACTAGGATCGTCTATCTATGGAGGAATCACTCAACTAAGCTACACGCATTATTGGTTGCAAAGTTTTGTGATGCCAAATGGTCCTTGTCTGTAGTTTTTATCTCTGAGAAGAAAGTTGGTTGAATAGGATGTGTATTGGTCTGCATGTGTATAAAATCAGTGATATTTGCTGTGTGAGAAAATCATTACAGAATTGCTGCCAATGAAGTATATCTATTGGCTGTGCCCGACGGGTTATTTTTATGTTGTGCCTTCTGGAGAGAGGTTATAAATTACGAAAAACTGAGGAGAATTGCGGGAAATCATCACCATGCCCGCGTTGTGTGTAATTACTGTTAGCATGTACAGTAATGGACAAAAGTATATAGACGAATATGAATATTTACCTAAATTCCTTTAGAAAATGAATTCATACTTCATTGCTCCATAAACAAATGCGTTATTAGTAGACAAACTAAATTCCTTGTTTTTACATTATCTGCAATGGACACACTACAAGTCTGAATAGTATAAACACTTTTTTATGAGGGACAAAAATATATAGACAAATTCTTTTCATCATTAGTTTAGTACATTTTCGTGTCAGAAAAGGATTAGTTTGTATTCATCAAGTATTGTGGATTAAGTTGAGTGATTTTAAGACCATGCCGCGTGGTCCAGAAATTTATTTCGATGTGAAAACTAAGATCAACGAGTTATACAAAGATGGTCAACGTCAAGTCAAGTCCACATTGCCAAAAATTTTAAGCTGAAGCGTAAAGCAGTTTGGGCAATATTGAACAAATATAAACAAAAAGGTATCTTGGAAGCCTCTAAGAGAAGTGGTCATCCTAGGAAACTAAATGCTAGATCAGTTAGATTAATAAAAGTAATTTCGTCCAAAGATCCGTTTAAAACCCCAAAACAAATAAAAGCTGAAATCGAGACAAAAGGAATTGTCAATGTTTCTACGAAAACTATAAGTAGAAAATTAAATGATTTGAAGTTATTTGCACGTCGCCCAAGTAAGAAGCCGCTAATCTCGAGGAAAAGCCGTCAGGACCGATTACAATTTGCACGGTTGCATCTTGATTGGAACATCTGTGACTAGAAAAGGGTATGTTTCAGTGACGAATTCTGAATCTCTCCCAGTTGCTGCAAATTATTTTCAGATTCGCAATCATTATTTTTCGTTATTTGACTCGAGATAATTTTTGTTTAGTTTTAAGCTGTGTCACTAAGAATGATATTCTTCAGACTATAAAAGATATTTATCTATATATCTATCATAAAGAACCTCTCCAAATACAACAAAATAAAGCAAGTCCTATTTAAAATCATTACTTACATCACTATCATGACTGGTATCTCTCATTGGGCTACACTTGTCAAATAAACTTTCGTAATCTTGATCCGCGATTCTCCATCTAAAAAAAAAATACATGGATGTCAGATACCAGAAGATATAAGAACAATTATATGCAATATATGAAAAAAAAATGTGTTCTATTGTTAGTGAACGAAATATGATTGAACTTCATACTGGTTCGTGGATAAATACGTAGTCGTGCCATAAGTTCTGTCCCATGATAATCTCATGATAAAAATGAAACAAGATAAGATATATTTATATGAAAGATATTATTTATTCGACAACATTTTTAGAATTCATAATCAAACAGTTTTATTCAAAATGTCCCCCCTTGGCCTTCACACACTGCTTCAATCTCGCGGGCCACTCATCTATCACTGCACGCACAGCTTCCAAAGGAATAGCTGCCGCTGATCGGATCAAATCCGCTTTCAGGGACTCGATATTACGGTGGGCTTTGGAGCAGGCCAACTGCTCTAGCAGGTCCCACAACTTGTAGTCTAAAGGATTGAGGTCCGGACTCCCTGAGGGCCAATCTTCCGCAGCAATGAACTCTGGCACATTGCTTTCCAGCCAGCGCTGCGTACTCTTAGCCTTGTGAGCGGGGGCGGAATCCTGCTGGTAGACCCAGTGTTGGTTGGCAAACAATGTACCACTTAAAGGCTTGACGATAGGATCCAGTATGTCGCTCTGATAGTTTGCCGCTTTTGTTTTCACGCCCTGTTTACAGAAATGGAGCTGAGTGACCCCTTCGTAGGACACCCCCCACCAAACCATGACTAACGCAGGGTGGTGGCCTCTCTCAACTCTCGGAATGATCTCCGAAGCTTCCTGTGAACTCCTTGCATACACTTTGTCATTTTGTCGGTTGAATTTTTCTTCTATGGTGAAGATTTTCTCATCCGTGAACAAAATCTTTCGGAATCCCCCAGCTGCGTACCTCTCCAAGAGCTTCTTGGATCTTGTCGCCCTGATGTGTCGCAAGGTGGCCGTAAGTCGCTGGCCCGTACGTCTCCGGTAAGCCCCTAGCCCTAGGTCTTGTTTAATGATGCGCGACATCGTCCGGACAGGAATCTTCATTTCCCTGGATAGGATCTTCTGCTTCCGGAGTGGATTCCTTTGAATCCTGGCTTTTACGGCTTTGATGGCTGCTGGAGTCCTTACTTGACGAGGTCTTCCGCTTCTTGGCCTGTCATCAACAGAGGACGTCTCATTGTACCGCTGAATGGTCCTAGACACAAATTTACGCGATATTTGAAGGCCGCGTAAGAGTTCAAAAATCTGACTAGCACTGTGATTACACTTATGTAAAGCTATCACTGCAATACGGTTCTCTGCCTTGCCCCACTCCATCGTTATGCTTCGAGAGATCAATACAAACTGAGGTATATGTAATTACCCGAAAAGCGCTTAATCAACTGACACCACAATGTAAACAATCGGACAAGTATTAACAGGTCTACACTTGTTTGAAAACGAGGGACAGAACTTATGGCATGACTATGTAGAAAGTCAATTTTTGTCCCACTTCACGCCCAAATTCAAACTGAGGGTTCAAATCGGGTAACACGGGGACAGTAAATAAATGTTATAGGTATTATATATATAATTACATAATATATTTGAGATACCGAAAAGCGCGGTTGCAATTCAATTGACATTTTTTTTTTAAATCAAAATCTGGTAACACTAATAACTAAAAATGTTCCTCCTATTCAAAATAAATGAAGGCAGAAATTTGCTCAACAAATAATTCAACAAGAATAAAAAAACTGATTTAGAACCAATTATACCGATTAGAAATAAATAATAAACACAAACAAATAATAATAATTATTGGTGCAATTACAAAGAAATATGTTTGCACAGGTCAGTCAAAACAACAAACAATATGTAAATAAGAAAAACTTAGATCATAAAGTGGCAATAAAAAGTATAAAAGTTGATAGAGACAAAGTTAAAATTTAGATGAATAACAGAGATGGTTAAAAAATATAATGGAAATCAATGATATCTACGTGCTGAACTGATCTGTTCCCCTGTAAAAATAACCATCGGGGACTGTCCAAAATTCATTGTTTAAAAAAAAACAGTAAGATAGAACTATAGTTTAGCTTACTTTGGTGTCAAGATCTCTTTATACTGCAACTTTTCCACTCTCGTAGATGCTGCCACGCTGTACGGTATCACTATATTGTCTATGTCGTATGACTGCACCCTGTTTCTCTTGTTGTAGCCGCTGATTGGCTGCATATGTAGCAATGGGGATGAACTGGGCGAATCGGACGATCTAAAGAACAAAGAAAAGAAAAATTGCGTCAAGTTGATTGATCGATTTTTTGTACGAGAAGGTCGCACTCCCATTTGTGACCCTGCTGGTATATTTTGGGGAAAACGCTCGGACACGTCAACTTCGATTTCTATGGGGACGTATTTTCGTCTATAGCCGTACAATACAGGGTGATCAAAAAATGAAAACCCCAATTTTTTAATTTTCAGATTTTTTATGAAATGTTTAGCAACTTTTCAATAATAAAGTTTATACCGATCTTCAATGGTTGTGAAACTATTTGAGTTTACAGGTATAATAAAATTCGACTAACTTAATACTGATAGTAATAGAACGCACGACAAAAAAAATAATAATCACGGATACCAGCAAGAACATTTAGCATCAGTGTCATCGTATGTCATAGAAAAACTTTGTCTATCAGTTTCAAATTGTTAAGTTACTTACCAAGCTGTGATAAATATTAAGCAATGACTTATTCATTCAAGAAAGGGTAGAAATAAACTGTATTACCAAAATGGGAGCATTAACAACACCCAACAATACAAAGAATTTGAAAGACAATAATTTCACCCATACAAGATAGAAGTTGTCCATGATCTTAATGAAGACACTGGCAATGTCCTGGAAAAAATAAATGTGTGGGCCGGCATTTTCAGAAATCATGTTGTAGGTTCTTTCTTAGTTCCTGGAAACTTGACGGGCAAGACGTAATTGGACATGTTAGAAAATACAATCGAGCCACGAATTACAGAAATAATAGAAAATGACATTAATTATAATGAAAATTACATTCATTTCATCACGACAGATTTTGGTCACGCATTTCCCGAATCAGTGGATCGGCAGACAAGGCCCCAGTGAGTGGCCGCCGAGATCTCCGGATCTAAGTCCTTTACATCACTTTCTTATGGAGCATCTGAAACGTAAAGTTTTTAGTATGAAGCCAGATTCCATTCAATATCTTCGTCAAGCGGATTGCGTTAGCTCAAGACATGCTTGAAAATGTGAGGAACGAATTCGAACAAAATCTTAATTATTGCATGGAAGTAAATGGACATCACTTTCAGTCCTTATTGTCACATTGACCTATCCATCAGATACCAGAAGATATAAGTTACATGCAATGCATGAAAAAATGTGTTCTATTGTTAGTGAACCGAATATGATTGAACTTCATACTGGTTCGTGGATAAATAGAAAGTCAATTTTTGTCCCACTTGACGCCCAAATTCAAACTGAGGATTAAAATCGGGTAACACGGGGACAGTAAACAAATAATTTGTCAATGTTATGCATTATGCATCATAATTACATAATATATCTGAGAGATACAAAAAACGCAGTTGCAATTCAATTGAAATTTTCAATAATCAAAATTTGGTAAAACTGTAATCACTAAAAAATTTTCTAATCAAAATAAATGCTGGCAAACATTTGCTCAACAAATAATTCAACAATAAATAAATATATTGATTATCATTTTTATTCTAGGATCTCATTATAAACTCGAATAGCTTCACAACGATTGAAGATATGTATAAACTTTATTAAACAAAAGTTTCTAAAAACATGAAGAATCTAAAAATTAAAAAAGGAAGGTTTCCATTTAAAAATCTAAAGTGTATTTTTGTATCACCCTGTATCGTACGGCTATAGATGAAAAGACGTCCCCCTATACAACAAAATTGACGTGGACTAGCCGTTTCCCCAAAAATATACCAGGAGAGTCACAACGTTTTCGTTGGGCCACCCTGTGTATTTGACTACATACCTAGTACCCGCATTGGCATTGTTTCCAATAGATTCAACCTCCTCATCCGCGCCGTCATTGGACAAATTGTTCGTCTGGTCCAACGGTTCTTTAGAGCTAGACAGACGCTTTCTATGTAACCTGCTCAGACTGTGGCGACCAGGCTTCCTGCCCCTAATCTTGCTCTTTATTTCTGTAAAGAAATATTCTGGTTAGGTGCATACAAATGACGCGATCTTACACGGAATAGATTTATTATACGAGCGATGTCTTTCAAGTTTTGCATATAGAAACATAGTAGGCCACGCGGATCGAACGTCAGTACTGAATCTTAACCTCACTCTTTAGTAAACTTAAATTCAAAGTTTCACAACAATACGTGCAGTGTTCTCACTACAGTGAATTTTTAAGTGTCACCAAGTCATTAGAAAAATGGAACTCAACCGAGAACATTTTCGCGCCATAATTTATTACAACTTTCAGAGACAATTATCGCAACAAGAATGCCTTGCTGAATTACTGTCTGTTTTCGGCAACGAAGCGCCACATCAGTCTACAATTTCCCGTTTGTACGGAGAATTCAAACGTGGACGAGTGAGTCTTACCGACGATCCCAGGGTGGATGCACCAAAAACGGCAGTCACCCAGGAAAACGTCGATGCTGTGTGCAAACTCATCATTGAAGATAGACATGTGACATATCGCGAGATTGAGGCGTCCTTGAAGATCTCAAAGACCCCAATTCAAAAAAATTTACATGAAGAATTAGGAGTAAGAAAATTGGTTTCTCGTTGGATACCCTACCTGTTGACTGAAGAGCAGACAGCAGCCATGGTTAATTGGTGTCAAAAAACGCTTGACAGTTTCAATTCCGGAAACTCAAAAAATGTGTACAGCATTGTTAGTGGTGATGAATCGTGGATTTAATGTTATGAACAAGAAAATAAACTGACAGTCGGCTGTTTGGGTGTTCCATGGTGACGAAAAGCCAACAAAAGTCATCCGTTCTCGAAGTGTTTCGAAAAAGATGGTCGCGACATTTGTGTCAAAAGCGGGTCATATTGCAATAATCCCTCTTAATGAGCAAAGTCTTGTAACTTTGTTAGATCGGCAACTTTTCAGACCACCCTCGTATATGACGGCAGGGCGCCGTCCAAATTCAGTTACAATCAGCCTTGTGGCCAGCTGTAAATGACCTTATGTAGTTCTTAAATTTTATAAGTAGACATGAAAATGGTTAGCAAAATCAGCAAATTAAGTAATCAATGAAAAACAAACACTTCACATTCTGTATTCTGACCTAATCCTAAATAGTAGTCAGTTGAATGGACCGTTATTTTGCCGCTTTCCTAATCCGTGCAATAGCAGGGTTTTATATTACCGTGAGTCACAGCTCTTATCAGACAATTACGCTTCAACAACCTTGACGGAATCGCCTGTTTTGACAAATCTAGAATACACGGGATTTTCTGCAATAACGTTTAATAAAATCATATATTATACTGCTGACTTGTTCTTTAAAACCAAAGAAGAAGAAATGTTTCTAGTTAAGTGGGTTATAAAACGGAATGACAGTTGAACATATAACTTTGTGCAATCGACAAAAAACATCAAAATTCTTCTACTACTACTCTATTAAAGCCAAAACATAAATTTATGAAAAAGTCAGCAATTACGAATTTGTATTCACACCCGAAATTACTGACCTGACCTTGGCTTGTACTGTCAGGGCAGATGGTACAACTTTGCACATTTATTGTTGAGTACTATTCACTAACCTATCAAATTTTGTTTCGATTTGGATGGATTATCTTTGAGATTTCGTAATCTGATAATTGAAGATGTATCATAAAAAAAAAAGTTGGACGTCTGTGGAACTGTTTTCTATTTATAGTGGGCAGAGTGCAATAGTGGTACACTTACCCTCGGAATATAGAAAAATTCAATATTTGTCCCCTTTGACGCCCAAATACGAACGAACATCAATATTCGGGTAACACGGGGACATTAAGCAACTATTATTTCGTTTACGGTCCAGTTCTTGCTCCCTTAAAGTTCCAACTCTCTTAGATAAATCCGTAATGCACAGATATTAAATCGATGCCGTACTGTTATTTTCTACTAAACACTGGGAAAACCACGGTTTTCCCATTCCATCTCTTCCCATTTATTCTTAGCCTTAAGAACAAAATTATCGTATGTGCGTTCGCTCCTCAAATCTTTTAATTTTTTTAAAGCTGCTGAAATGCACCTTGGAGCCAACATCAAGTCTATTTCTTTCTTTTACATTTGAACCTGCTCAATACTGAATGCCACCAAAAAAAATTCGTCTTCTATGCAATTGATAATACATTCAAAAAATGTCTTCCACTATATTATCACGAAGAAAATATATAAGTCATCAAATAAAAAAAATGCACAGTATTGTGAAAGTATATGGTTATAAGCATTGAAGACGTGAAAAGACTGTAATAGACGCAATAGAGACTTCATTAGACTGAAAGAGGCTGATTCATACCACGAAGATATTTATTTACCGAACATTATATGCCAGGTAATAATATATCACTGTAAGCACAAAATGAAAAAATAACCTCTCCACTCCTTGAGAAATAAAAGGATCATTCGGTAATTTTTTTTAGAAATGAAATGTCATTTTTCAAAAAAATTCTTAAGAAATGAAAGGGAAATTTTCTTATTCAAACTGAATGCTATCGCGCTGTTTCATAAACATTACGCAGATGGTCATTAAAAGAATATAACACTCTGATTTCTGTGACCACCCTTCCTTGGGGGGCTCAGGCGGCAATTTCCATTTTGCCATTACTTAAATCCGCCACTGTGACAGACATCCCCCCCACCAGTGTGACCCCCCAAGACACAAATCCTGGATCCGCCGTTGCTTGCGACTTTGCACTGTTTCCGCATGTGAAAACGAAGCTAAAAGGAAAACGGTTTTCTAGCAATGACGACCTTCAGAGGGCTTGGAAGAACGAGTGTGCCGTACTCCCGGGTGAAACTTGGCAAAGCTGGTTCAAGGACTGGTTTTGGCGGCAATAAATAAAGTTGTATTGCAAAACTTGTACCTATGCTTATTTAGGATTAGGTATCTTCTGGTGGAATAAGTTAATCAATGGCAAAACGCACCACATCAGCTGCTGTGCACTTACTTGCCGACAGTGCAGATATGGTACTTGGCTTCAACAACCTACCATACTTCTTTCGGTGTTCCAGCTTCTTGGCGCGATGCTCCGAAGCTTTGGCCTCCAATCTGTCGGGTTTCGTTAACGCTTTCAGGGACTTCAATCTGCTGGAACGTTGTTGCCATTCGGACGTTTTCATTATGGCCTCTAGGTGAATATTTACAGACGTATCTTGGAAAAAAAATAAAACATATTTCAGAAACAGCATTACCAAACCACAAAGATTATCAAGCTGTTGAATAATTATGATGCGAAAAATCGTACGATTTTAGAAAAGGTGTAACAAAAAAGGAAGCAAAAGCACACTACATTCCACGATAGGTACTTCAACACATCAGAAGTTGGCAAAAAATAACAGTTAATCTTTTATAGCGTTTCCTTTTGGTAAAACTTGTAGAGCTCGTTCTATTGTTTCCAACTGTCAACAGTGTCAGATTTTACAGCTTTTTCTTGTGACTTTGCATAAAACCAATTTTTACGGTCAGTTTTCTTTTTCAGCGCGGAAAGACTACATAAAACACAATTTTTAGTTGGCTGATGATAGCACGCAAAACGAAATGACAGATGTTGTTCCTTTGGAAGCACATTCAAAGATGAACAAGGACACTGTTTCAAATATGGAAAATGTACCAGTTTTATATATAAAAAAACGCCATTAGTGACAATGAAGTACATATCAGCAAGTGAAATAAATCAGTGTGCTTCATACTGCTTCGTATTTTCTAAAGACGCCGAAGCTTTTACGCGAGTTAGGTTCCATAAACTGATTAAAAGACTTCTCTGGTATACAATCAGAACGAACCAATCGATATAGATTCACTGTTGTCAACAGTACCAGATTAACACAAGCAAGCCACTTATGGACGTCAGAATGTGTTGATGTATTCTGGTAAACAGTTTATGAGTAGATTATCGAAGGTGCTGTGAAACTTGAAACTATTGCCACGTGAAACAAGATTATATGAACATGCACAAAATTATTATAATAAATCAATATGCAGTGGAACAAAATTATATGATTTTACAATAAGCAGTATACCCATAGTTCGTGCTGAAAAAAGTGATAAGCTGTAGCAAGAATTTTGTCCCATATTTTAATAAGCCCATGGTTTAAATATGCACCCAAGCCTTTGTTAACAAAATATGTCATGATTTACGTCCCATTAACCCACCAAATGTCAACAGGAATGGCATTTGGGTAACGCGAGACGACACAAGCATAATGTCAAAACACAAAAACGATACATAATGCAAGCGACAAATAAAAGCTTGATGAAAGGCTATCTTCATTTGTTACATAAGAAATTCTTAATGCATGCAGTATCATATCACATATCAGTTTTAGCTCATTTGTTGTTTTATTAATTGAAATATTTATTTATAAAACGAGTTTTGCTGAGTTTACAATATAAAAAAGAACGCACATTGATCAGTGTGTCCCAGTATGGAATTTTGGAAAGGCTTATCTTGAAGCAGAAAAAATGACTCTAGTTTGAGTTTAAGATCCATAAAATAAACCGGTTTTGGAAAGAACGCGTTTCAGTAAAGTACCTGATCCAAGTTCCGTCGTTTTGGAAATATAGTATTTTTGATAATAGATTCGTAATTAGCAACCAGGAATATTTTTGTCAAGTTTTTGGACGAGCAATTGGAGCAGGATTTAAACAAAGCTGTTTTTCTCAAAAATGTGTCATTTTATGGAAATCAAACAGAAGCACACTACGATACAGTTTTCGAAAAATATAATTTTTTAACCTAAACTCAATTAAACCATATGTAAAATTAGGGTTTCAATAAGTTGTCAAAGTTGCATGCAATTGTTATCCTCTTATTTAACCAATTAGTAGCAAATGACAAAAAGCATCATCACTTAGGACCCTTATTCCTGTAAATGAGGAAGAAGAATCACTGAAAGCAGGCATGGTTCTCTTCTTTGGAGAATGATCCCAAATTCTGACAGCTATTGACATTTTTGTCAACGAAGTTTGCGAATATAATCATTTTTTTTTCTCCTAAGAGTGATTATGCTGAAGAAAAGTAAGAAACCACGTACCCTCAGTTATTCCACACCCTCACATTTAACCCCCAAAACTTATAATACCAGAAATAAACTGTTTTCACACTCTACTCACCTTCAGGCATCGAGAAAACCGGATGATACCCGGGATCGAGCAGCGCGACCCTTTCGCGCCGCCCCTGCGTATCGGGCGGATCCCTGGGATGAGTGGCGTCCGTCCTGCCGGTGCACACCGCACAACAGCCGTCCGCAACGGCCAATGCGGCCGCCGTGATGGGCGGTGATTGCTGTTGCTCCGCCTCACCGACGTTGGCCACGCCTCCCTCGGCGAATCGGGTCGCGTACGCGGCCGTAGAGGCGGCGATCGCGTCGCCGCGGCAACAGCCGCATCGCACCGTGCTCGGTCGGGCGGCTTTCTTCGAAACGGCGTGCAGGCCACGCACCTGGAGGAGTTTGCGTTTGCGGAAGTTCAAGAGGGGACGGCCGCGGGCACACTGGAAACGAAAAAAATAAAAATGAAGTCTCAGAATGGTCTTGAATAAAATGACACAATGACAAGATTCTTCGGCAGGGGTATTACGTTTCTTGAAATTATTAGGCTTTTTGTGACGTTATGTAGATTTGTCTACAAGATAACTTAGAATTTGATGTGCACTCGTTCGGTAGCTGTAAGTGTTGCCTAAACGTCATGACGTTCAGCTATCAATATTTGGATCAGATGTGATGTAACATCTGCTTCACAGATGGCATTACTGGAGGTCTAAGCTCTAAGTTGTATAGTTTAGCCAGAAGTAAACGGCAATACATAGGTGCATAGTCAGGATTTGTGTGCTAATAATATTTGTATGATAATTCCACTTTTTTCTTATTCATCCTGGACATTACATATGCAAATTGCTAAAATGAGAGAGATAAAAAAAGAAAATCGCTGGTCTATTATACTCGAATTACAACCAACAGATGAGAAAATATGCTACAGACAAGAATATTTATGAAACGTGAAAAAAAATATTACATGTTACATTATTTTTCATTTCCAGTCATTTAAATTTTATAGAAATTTATTTTGCAATGTCAAAAAAAAATACAAATCAGTGCCTAGATGTGAGGCACTACGAAAATGTTTTGTGGGTGTTGGATCATTTCTAATTCTTCTGTGATCTGGCTAATTACACACGAGGGCGCGGTGCTGATTCCCCGTAATGCTTCTCAAAGTTTTGGAAAACGCAAAAATAGGAGAAAATCGTGATTTATAACTTTGTACATAACCTCTCTTCAGAAAGGACAACACAAATAACCCATCTGGTACAGATAATGAATATACTTCATTGACAGAATATTAGGTAATAATTTTCTAACATAACTGATTTTATATAGATGCAATCATCCAGATGCGATCTTGCTACTCTGTTAACTCAAGCAATTTTCCGTCACATCTTCTCAGAAAAATACTCTACAGACTATATCAGCATTCTGCAACCAACAAAGCAAGCTGGAGAACTGACTTTTGGCTTATTATTGAGCGTGTCGTTGAGACATTCTTCCATAGATGACCGGAAACGCGGAATGAACTATTTGCATATTAGGAGCTATCTAGTCAGCTGGTTGACATTTTGTCGTTTTTTTTTTGACATCATATAGGTTTTTTACGTAATAACCCAGCAGGACCCATGTTTATATGACATTCTTTCACATTGTAAAATATCCCGCAATAAGTTAGTTGCTTGACAAAAACCAACCGATAAAAATATCCAGATCAGCCACGTTCTTTCTATGTCCCTTAAATTTTAAGTAGCAGGACGTAAGCAGCGAATGTAAGATTGCATGAATAGCTGCCTTTATGGCTAGTTACAATAAACGGGTCGTCATAAAAAGTAGGTCACACAAACTGGACCGTTGCGCCTGAGACTTTATAGGGTGAAGTTATCGTACATCAGTTAAGCAATTAGATAAAATCCAACAACTTGCACTGTTGATCAGACATTCAAGTAGCTAAAAAACCGAACATTTCAATGAAAATACAAACTAGTTAAGATCGTCGTACAATACAATATAATTCAAAAAACAATACTTAATCCTAGTGGCTGGTAAAGGGAGAAACTAAAACCCCCGACTCTCAATTCTTTGAGTTAGCACTTGAATTAAAACGCAGAGGCTGCAATCGTCATTGGCAATGGCCAAGTAAACCTCCACGAAAGTTTTATGATAACACCGCACTTGTTTCGCTTTCGATGGCAAACAAAATACAAGAAAATAATATAAACCGGTGGACAGTTGCTTTGCAACATGGAAAATTTTACCCAAATTCAAATCTCGATATTTGCGGAATGGAAAGAGATAACACGATATCTCTTTCCGTTAGAGACATTTATAAATTCGGTTTCAATAACAATGTCACAGCAAATTTTTACTACACGCCACTGGAGGCAATAACGTTCAATGAGTGCTTCACTCTTTTATCGGGCGCAACAAATTCCACTTTATGCAAGAGTGTGAGAAAAAATTACCATTCTCAACAGAAACCCCAAAAAAGTCCCTGTTTTAGGGACAAATGTAACTTTTTAAAAATTCGATAATATGAGTTATAGCAAACTTTCGAAAATCACTTTTTCTAGGACAGTCCAAAGATTAAAAAGATGCAAAAAAATTTCCAAGATCAAAAATTGAGAATCTGACATCAGCCCCAAACTTTTAAAAAAACCTGACTTCCTCTGCTCAGCCTGTATAAGTGGATTAATGAAAGAAATCTACCGATCGAACCTTGTACGTGTTCTCCAAGAGTTGGTCAAGAACCTCCCGGATACCGCATATATCTTTCCGATTTGAATTTGGGTAAAAATTGCCATGTTGCAAAGCAACTGTCCACCAGTTTATTATGGTAACAAGAATGAATAGTACTACTAGCGCCATCTGTGGAGAACAGCGCCTGGCACTCTCTCGCTCTCGAGATCGAAGACTGGCCCCGAAGATTCTGGACTGCCGCTGTGGCGTACCGAAACCTTCTCGAATTAACGAGTACCTGCGATGCGGAATATACAGGGTGCGTCATCTTTTACTTTTTTTTCTATTTGAAAAATCAACACGCTTTTACGAGGTGAAATCGAATTTTTTTATTGATAAATGAAGGTTGGTTTATGCCATTTATGTATGAAAAATAACATCAGTCATGTGACCACCGCGGCTTCGTTTACAGGCCAACATCCGAACATCAAAATTTTCAATGACTTTTCCCAGAATAATCGGGTCTATGGCCGCAATTTCAGTCCGAATATTGCGCTTTAGGTCTTGAATTGTCCGTGGACCATTCGCATACACTTTTCCTTTCAAAAATCCCCAAAGAAAATAGTCAAGAGGTGGTAAATCGCACGATCTCGGGGGCCAAGTGACATTGAATTTCGTGAAATTATGCGGTCTTGAAATTTCGTGACGATTGTTTGGCGAGATGCGTGAGCCGTTGCTCCGTCTTGATGAGACCAAAGATCGTCGGCACCAATACGATCCAATTGTGGCCACAAAAGGTCTGTTAACAGCCGCGATAATGTTCCCCGTTGACGGTAATGGCCTTTTTGTCGGCATCTTCAAAGAAGAATGGTCCAACGATGCCACCAGCCCATAATCCGCCCCAGTCACTTATTCAGGATGGAGATGTTGTTCATGATATTAGTGTGGATTTTCAGCCCCCCAAAATCTGCAATTTTGCTTATTTACGTACACATTGAGGTGAAAATGAGCCTCATCAGAAAAGAGCACTTTGGCCGAAAATCCGTCTTCTCTTTCCAGCATCCAATTAACAAAAACACGCCGCTGTTGATGATCTGCCGGCTTCATTTCTTGTGTTGGTTGGATTTTGTATGGATGGAGGTGTAAATCAATGTGTAAAATCCGGCGTAAGGTGGTCTCACTAATTCCCAAGTGTTGCGAACGGTGCCTAGTCGAGGTGTTTGGATCTTTTCGCACACTTTCACTCACTATGTTTTCACGAGTAGGAGCTGGACGAGCATGTTGATATGGTCTACGACGTTCAGCTGAACCAGTTCCCTCAAAACGATTAACAATCCAACGAATTCCAGGCCAAAACTAGTGCGAAGTTTGCGAAAAGTTTTTTTTATATTTCGACCGTTTTCGTAATAAGTTTGGATAACCAAAATGCGTTGTTGTGTTGTAAACGAATCCATGACTACAAATGGCATACCTTTGACAGTTCATTTATGTATGCCACATGACTTATAGGTAAATAAGTAGTCAGACATAAATAGTGTTGTACATAAATGTTCTATCTAGTTAAGTTAAAATTAGTTGCTGTGTTTTAAATAAATTAGTGCATTTCTTTTTGTGGAATCGAGTGTTTTAATCCACGCCCAAAAGAACCCAGAAACACGCTACAGCATCAACAAAAATCCACCCACAGATATGTCCCCGTCTTGCGGAAATATATAAAAGCGCGTAATTACAACCTGACCTTTCGCAAGGTATAATACGCTTGTTATCGAAATGACGCATCGTATCGCACTGATTAAAATCGATTTACTTTCAGTCATTAAACATTCAGGTTATCAAATACGCAACAGAAAAAAACCTCATTGAAAATAGACTTTATAAAAAAATGTATTCGAAAAAATTACTTCGCGTTAATGTAACATAAATATGTCTTCTATTTTTAGTGAGCCGGACATGATTGCATCTTACGACGTCGCCGGCGCGTGGAAAAATAGAAAGTTCATTTGTGTCCCTCTTGACGCTCAAATTCAAACTGAAAATTGAAATCGAGTAACACGGGGACAGTACAAAGGATATAATTGGTCAATACACACACAAACATTGGCAATTTGATTTGCATGCTACACAAAGAACGGAAACTAATGTTGACATAAAAATCGATTAATATGCGAAAGTAATATATCTACGTCTGTGAAAAGGAAGAGCTTTTTCTCAGTTGATTGTAATAAACCCTCATATACTCTTATGTTGAATAATAAATGGCAATGTTCTGAGTGTTACCAAATTTTGTCAGCATAATTGAAGGGAAGATTCAGCATGAATATGAATTTGAAAAAAGTCCAGAAAATATCTTGGCATCTGCATATTCTGATTTAATTTTTCCGCATAATCTTATTCAAAAAGAACCCTTTTTAACGAATCTGCAAGTTGCCAGGCTCGAAATTCCGTCAAATACTGCTATTTTTTTTTTAAACTCCAAAATTTGTTTTTTTTTGCTCCGAACAAAGTTCTTCACGTTTTTTGGGTCACACTGAACAACATAGTTCTTATGAAGCTTTCTCTAAAGTTGTCAGTTTTCGAGATATAAGTGATTTAATATTTGAGAAAAGTACGAAATGTGGCCTTTTCGACCTGGAACAGCAATATGAAAAACAAAAAAACTTTAATATTTACAAGTTTCTAAATATTCTTGCCATGCTCGAAATTCCGTAAAAAAACTGCTGAAAAAGTTTTTAAACAAACTCTAAAAATCTTGTTTTCGCTCCGTCATCGTGAACAAAAAAGGTTCTCATGAACGTTTCTCTAAAGTTGTTAGTTTTCGAGATATGAGCGGCCGGTATCTCACGAATAAATGCTTCAATATTGGCTTCCCGTGCGCCAATCGTTGCTGGTTTAACCCTGTAGACATCAGCCTTAACATGGCCCCACAAGAAATAGTCCAACGGCGTTAAATCACACGATCTAGGCGGCCAATTGACGGGCCCCAAACGTGAGATAAACTGTTCACCGAACTCGCCTCTCAATAGGGCCATTGTTTCGTGTGCGGTGTGGAATGTGGCACCGTCTTGTTGAAACCACATGTCAGCCAAGTCCAGCTCTTCCATTTTGGGCAAAAAAGTTTGTTATCATCGCACGGTAGCGCTCGCCATTCACAGTTACGTTCCGGCCATTGTCGTCTAGAAGTACGACCCGATGATGAAACCGGCCCATAATCCACACCAAACAGTGATATTTTCGGGATGCATTGGTAGCTCTCACTCCAGATGCGGCAATTTTGCTTGTTAACGTACCCATTCAACCAGAAATGAGCTTCGTCGCTGAACACAATTTTTCGATAAAAATGTGGATCTTCCTCCAACTTTGCCAGCACCCATTCACCAAATGGGAAACGTGTGGCTTCAATTCTTGCACCAGCTGTATCTTATAAGGTTTTACACCCAAATCCTGTCGCAAAATGTTCCACGTAGTGGAGTAACAGAGGCCCAATTGCTGCGAACGGCGGCGAATCGACATTTCACGGTCATCACTAACACTGGCGGATACAGTCGCAATATTTTCTTCAGTCCTCACCCTACGTCTGCGTGTTGGTGGTCTAATATGTCCAATAATGTAAACTGAGTTCGAAATTTAGTCACAAGCTCCCTCAGTAGGCCGACCAAATTGCCCATAAATTGGAAGCAGTGCTCGATGCACTCTCTTAACCGAGCATGAATTTTGATAGTAAAATTAAATAATTTGCAAGCGTTGTTCGTTCGTAAGTCGATTCATGGTTAAATTATAGACCAAACTGAACAAGTTTGACAATGACACAAGACACGATTCACGCGTCATCTGTCAAAAACAGTCTTGCCAAAATGATACTAGCAAAAAAATCACCCATTATTTGATTCACCCTCGTACCATCCCTCAGACTCCTAGCAAGCCAAGGATAGTTTGTTCTACATCATAACCCACTCACCGCATACTGATCAACATCTGGCGTCCCCGATGCATCACCGCCTTCTTTCGCCTGCTGTTGCGCGGCCCCCGGCAACTGCCCCCTGTACCCGTTGACAGCCGTCGTGGTGCCTACGGAGGCGGAGCCGCTGTTCGTAGTTGCTGTCCCCGCTTCCTCCGCGAGATGGTGGGGCGGCGACACGCCCCCAAGTCGTACCGCCCCCTTGCCGTGACGCACCTGACGCAACAGGTCCGTGTGCTTTCTGATCCGGTATTCCAGGTCGGCGATTTGCGATTGGAGCCACGTCCAGCGAGCGGCGACGGCTGCCCTCTCCAGCGAGTACCTCCATAATGCACGTTTCTGACTGGAACAGAAAAATGCAAACGGTTAGTAAAGATATTCGCTAATGTTTCTTTAATGGAAAAAACTATAACCCTTAAATAACGGATCCCACCTGAAGATGCCAAATTGAGGTAGGCACTAAAGAGGCACCAAAAAGGGATTGAAAATCCTAGCGCCATCTAGGAGGCAGAAGTAGAAACAAACACTCTAACTCTTTTCTGAGTTGATTTCTAAACTCATCTTTGTGTTCTGCTACTGACACAGATGACACCAGGATCTTTCGGATTACTGTTTAGACTCCGGAATACAGTTATGTGATTAGTAGAATAAGGGTTGCGACGATTTAAATCAAATTAGAAATTGCTGTAAAAATAAGTCGCAGAAGCAAATAACTAAAATAACTCTTCGGAAAATTCAGAAAAAAAAAGGAAATATAGTTTATTTGAAACTGAAAGTTTACATACATTAAGTAAGTTAAAAAAACATACATCCTCATCAGCACAACGTAAATATAAATTAAAAGAAAGAACAGTTTACAAACCAAAATACGACTGACGCCCCAGCCACTGAACGGACAGCGAAAGATAACAAATAATGCTGATTATGACCAGTGATATTGTGTCCGACTACTGGAATGAACGAATGATAAACAAACCATGGGCGTAGTGAAGAAAAGCATTTACTTATTAAGTAAATTCTTTTAGTCAAATTCCTTCTGAAAGTGGTACAAACTAATACAAACTAAAACCTATTAAAGACTACTTTAAGCTTTAAAACAATAAATCTTCAAAACTACTGAACTGAAGGTCATGTATTTTACATCATTATAAAGGGAATTGAAAGACCTTTAAAATAAGGTGTGTCCCCCTCGAAAACAAAATAGACGGGTCTGAGCGTTTTTCCAAAAAAAAAAACTGAGCTGCCCGTAAATACGTGTTTCGTTTTCGATGCGCCACCCTGTATAGTGAAGGCTGGCTAAAGAAGACAGTCAAAGATGTGAGAAATGTTGGGAAATTGCTTGAAATATGTGTACAGTATGATAATTCAAAGTCCACAGTGCAGGACCAGATTCATGTTCAGTTTTAACTAGTTTGTATGTATTTTTGATAAAAATATCTATACTAAACGGACTCAGTATGAGTGTGTTTAATTTCTTTTCCTCAACGTCTTAATGACAGCTGATTTGAAATTTCTATTCTATCACGAATTTTTAAATACGGTTCTGTCTAAAACTGGCTAATCAAATGCTGTCCGAGAATTGGAAACTAGCCGGTTGACTAGTAGCACTTTCTGTTCAAAGTACTGGCAAAATAGCACCTTTTCCATTAATATTTTTTTTATAAAATTACAAAAATATTTCTGCTAGAGTTAAGCATCTCGCTATCAGGCGAAAAATGAAAAGTGATCGATATTTATCTACGCCGCCGAGTTACTTGTGTCAACACATTACAAATTACCATAAAGTTGCGTTTACCTTTACCCTACAGGTAATGCAAGTTACACGATTTTTTTGAATAAATGATCCGCCTTAGTGTATTCTATTTATAGTGAGCAAAATGTTATTGAACTCGAACATTCGCTCGTGGATGTGATAGAAAAATTTTATTTTTGTCTCACTTGACGCCCAAAATCAAATTGGATTTCGATTCCGGTAACACGGAGACAGGCAACACAACAATGATGAATGTGAATTAATTTTTATCGCAAACGAGATATAAATAACAATACGACGTTCGCGATTCACACAGTAGTCATTATAAATGCTGATGCAGTTTCAGATTTTTGCATTGTCATATATGCATAAATGGGAGAATTATGTCTACATTTGGGATTCTTTAAGGATGTTAATCAGTTCAAAAAATCCAGCAGAATCACCAGATGCTCGAAAAACATCGAATACAAAGTTTGGGGACATTCGCTTTTCTAGACCCACTAAGCGTTCTTGTGGCAAAAATTCTTCAAAATCTGAACAGTGCTTTCAGAACTATAGAAGGGCAAAACATTTGTAAACAGACGACAGACAGACCGATAGAGACGACAAACCTCACGAAGACCGCCATAAACAGATGTTTTTGAAAATTTTCTCAATTACATTTCCTTGACAACTAGTGTGAGAAATGAAAACATAGTTAAGGGAGTGAACCAAAGCACAACTTCCACAAGTTGCATTAAGTAACAGATTGGGTATGTGGATGGTATGACTAAAACGCTGTTATCTAATTTGGAGCAATAAACGATTTATCTGAAATATAATACAACATCATGACTGACTGACGCAATAACCTGCAAATTATCACACTCATAATTGAATTAGCTTACAAATTAACTCATACTCAAATAAAAGCTAACACAGAAATATAGTATATTCCCATTTACGGGTCATTTTTAAGGGCTTTCTAATACACGAAATCAATGAAATGCGGCGAAGTAGCTCACAGTATCTCGCACACAAACTCCAAATTTCGAAAATATGGATACTACGAAACATTCCAAAAGAGAAGAGAATTTCCTGGGTAGGCCTTGATATTAGTCGTTTGTCTGGTATATCAGACCAGGCCTCAAATTTAACATAGTAACAGAGTTTGGAAGACTGAGAAGAAGGGAAATAAATCGAGCAGTGAACAAAGTACAAAGAAGTCGGGCTTTTTCAAACAAAGTCCAGTCATCGTTTGCGGAAATTCTTATTTTAAAGGTGCTAAACGTCGTTTTCCATTTCATAATTCACGTTATTATTGGTGATAAAAACAAAGACGATCCTTAAAAATAATATAATACTAAACTCATACTTTTATAAGGTTCCGAACAAAGGACATATTGTCATGGATATCCATTCATTTTTATATTGCACGTATCAGAAATATTTCTGTCCGACATCCGCTAGAGGCGCTGCCATCGGGCGTAAATTCCATTACGTCATCCCAAGCGAACAGGGGCATATAAAGAAAATATTTGGAGAAATATCCACATGATTGATTCTAAATTACTGCCCCATAACTGCTGCGGGGGGGGTGTAGAACTCCCGTCTCGGGGGAGGGGAGATATGCACGATTGAAATTTGAAGAGCGGGAAGGGGGATCGGCTGTTGGGAGTTGTCTGCAAATTGAAAAACTCACACCTCCCCTGAATTCACCCCTGCGAAGCGCAACGAGCGTCAAAAACGTTGCCAGACGCGTGCCGCGTGTCGCAGGAACACGCTGACGATATCCCATCCATTGTTGCCGAGCCTACCGAAATAAGACCCGATCTGGATATCTTGTTCCTAACCTAAAATTTAGGCCAAAGAACATTTTATACTGAAATCCCTGAAATTTTTTTTCAAATTAATTTTTCTGGAGTTCTGTTTTATTCATCGGAATAAAATCACCCTGTACAATAAAATCAGACCGTGACTACAATTTAAAACTCATATTTATACAATAAAGCCAATGAGCGTTATGAATTTGACCAAAATGTTACTTGTTGCGTTTATTTTGAACTTGAATGTACCATGAATGATAGCTAATGAGATATGGTAGTTATATTTTGTTTTTTACACTTACACAAATCCTGTATACCTGAGGTCTGTACGCAATGAGAAAATGTCAGTTTCCCATCTGTTATTATACGTTCAAGGAAAATCTGTAAACTCGTGTTTTGTGTATGCGCACGATAAAAAAATATGCTTTTGTCATTTTCCTACCGTGTTTGTCCTTGATTCTACCAAATTTCTACGACATATCTTCCGATTTCGTACTTTTCGGTCCGGCAACACTGATCCTATCCCGCATTCCCGCGCATATTCACCCTTATCATTCAACAGTTCCCGGCCGCGCGACGTTGCCGGACTGTGCGCCAGCGCGTTGTTACGTCAGATGAAAATTCGTTAGCACTCGCTGACAAGCACAGACACGCAGAAAGAACCACGTTATCGTTGCGCAATATTATGAACGAGCTCTTTGTTTTTAGGCTGGTTTCCGTAGTAAATGAATGAAATAGCTACTGTGCAATGATAAATGCGATAATTCGAAAACGTGGTTACAAAAATCAAAGTATCTATTTAATTATGATACTGTTATACTCCTGCCATATGTTACCAAACTGCGAATCCAGTTACATGTTTAGACGCTATATTGACTAGATACTTATAAGTTTTGATTGCTTATGAGAAGTAATAATAAACACAGTAGACACAAATAAAAAAAGCATAGGTTACTAACAACGGTTATAATCCGCCCATAAAAAAATTGATTTGGTAAGAGGCAAAAGACAAATCAAATGTTAAATTCCGAAATGCATTATGTATACAGGGTGTTTGGTACATAAACCAACGTTTTCTGGGCGACACTATTCGATTATTTTTTATGGAAACCGTAAGGACTAGGGTTACCGAGATATCGTTTTTGGTTTTTGCTACAATTGCGCATAAATATCGTTATAACTTTTTTGACCGCACAAGACATTATTTCTATGATGTGTAGCATATCCTTGGAAAGGCAATAAATCGCAGAAGTTTTGTAAGTAAAAACTAGGTTTCAAAAAAGGTATAGGTTTTTTTAAAATCGAATTTTGAATTTGAAATTATTTATACACTCCACGTGATTATATGACTTTGGAAAGTCATAAGTCATTTGTTTGAGAAGATTTGCAACGAACTGTTTATCTGATCTGATTGCGTATACATTACAGATCACTCACGTTTATTTTGTGTCATTATCTGTGGGAAAAGTTATATATTTATGCGCAATTGTAGGTAATTCAGCAAAAAAAAAAACGAAAAACGATCATATCTCGGCAACCCTAGTCCTTAGAGCATTACGGTTTCCATCAAAAATCATCAAAGAGCGTCCCCAATCGCCAAAAAAAAAAGTTGGTTCATGTACCAAACACCCTGTATATGAATAAAAACAATGTAATTATAAAATCTATTTTTTACTTGTACTAACTGAAAGATAATAAACTGTAAATGATTTTCCGAGAATTGAAATATACTAAGTGACATATAAATCCGAACACCCAGTTTAAATGGTTTTATTTTAATAAAAT